CTGTGTTTGTATTTCTACATGTGATTCTTTCAGAATTGTTAACACAATACAAATAAACTCAGTCAAAGCTTTTGATAGTTTCATCCCGTTATCACTTCTTAAAGTTTCTCCCAGACTGGAGTGTTCAAAGAAAATAAAGACTGAATTTAAATTTTTCTCTTGGTAGAGAAAGTACTAATTCTGAAATTGTATTTAAGTTTGGGTTTAAATAAGATAGAGAAAGTTTAGTAATACTAGAGAAATACTTTAAAATTTTCCTGAAAAGTTAAAGCATATTATGCATGTAACTTGCTTTCAAATATTTTAGGTAAACAATATAAATATGTATATGTAAGCAGCTAGGTAGGTTGTTATTAAAAATGAATAATAAAGCTGATGTGGTAAAATGTTAATATATATTTGAAAAATATGTAGATTTTTAATACTTTATCTGTAATTTATATAAGACAAATTATTATTATTATTATTATATTGGTCGGTTATGGGGCCTAGACTTTGGACCTTGGTGCTGTTCTTCAGCTCAAGGCTAGTGCTCTACCATTTGAGCCACAGTGCCACTTCCGACTTTTTCTGCTTATGTGGTACTGTGGAATCGAACCCAGGGCCTCATGCATGCAAGACAAGTGTTGTACCACTGAGCCACCTTCCCAGCCCCAAACAAATTATCTTAATAATACAAAAGTAAAGCTGGAGACATGCTTAGTTGGTAGGCTGACAGCCAAGTAAGCAGTCTGAGCAAGCTCAAGGCTTTGAGCTCACACCCCCATTACTAACAAAAAAATTTAAAAAGATAAAAAAAAGACTTGTCATAAGTGTTTGTTTATTTTTTGTCATAAGTTTTTATCTGGTCCCTCTCATCTGGATTGAACTCAGGGACTGGGTGCTGTCTTTGAGCTTTTCTGCTCAAGGCTAGCAATGTACCACTTTGAGGTATAGCTTTACTTCTGGTTTTCTGGTGGTTACTCGGAGATAAGAGTCTCCTAGACTATTTTACCCTGATAGGCTGGCTTCAAGTCTCAATCTTCTGGTCTCAGCCTCCTGAGTAGCTAGGATTACAGGCTTGAACCACCAGAGCTTGGCTTTCTTTTGTCTTTAGCATGTTCTGTACTCAGTGTAGATTTTTTAAATTTATCTCCCACTTCTCCTTCATTATCTGAAAATTTCCCTTCCAAAGTGTTTCAGTACCGTAGGCCCTATGTGTTTTTATCATATGTCCCTGGGAACAGTTTTTATTCTTTTGATAATACTTTCGGTAACCATTCATAATTTTTCCTTTTATTTACTTAAAACATATATATTAGCGTTAGAAATCATGGTTTCTTAGTGATAAAGCTTCCTACTGTCCACATATAAAATTCCCTTACCTAGATTATTTTAAGTGTTCAATTTTTGCTATATGTGCTAATGTTAGAAAAACATGGACACTTTCCTAGTGCCCATATATAAAATTCCCTCATCTAGATTATTGGCAGGGTTCCATTCTACTATCAGCATCCAGTAGAAAAGTAGGCTAACAAGTGAACGTTTAAAGCAAGTCAAGAGTTTTGAGAAATGGTTTCTGTAGTTGTTATAGTTTGATTTGAATATATTGTTGAAATGTTACTGATAACTCCCAGTATGTGGTTAAGATAGCACATTTCTCTCTTCTAATTTAACTTTTTTTTAAATTTTATTTTATTTGTGAACATACTGTACAGAGGGGTTACGATTACATGGGCAGGATAATGCGTACATTTCTTACCAAGATTGCAGCCTCCTCCTTTGGTTTACCCTTCACATCCCTTCCCAGCCTCCCCCCTCCCCTCCAATCCCAATCCTTCTCCTTCCCTCCCCCCCCCCCCCCCCCCCCCCCCCCCCCCCCCCCCGCACCAACATTGTAGAGCTCCTTTTGGACATGACAACTTGTACTTCTCATTAACTTTTTTTTTTTTTTTAAACTTGGGGCCTGTGCTTGCTAGGCAGGCACTTTATCACTTGAGCCACATACCTTGTCCTTTCTGTTCTAATTCATTCTCTTACACAAAGTGAAATCGGTATAATTTCAAAAACAAATTACTTATAATCTAGCTTCCAGTTACTAATAAGAATAGTGTTTAGCCAGGTACAGTTGGCTCACGCCTACAATCTTCCCTAATTAGGAGTCTGAGATCTGAAGATGATGGTTCAAAGCAAGCAGTAAATCTCTTGAAACTCTCTGATAAAACACCAAAAAGCTAGAAGTGGAGTGGTGGCTAAAATAATAGAGCACTATCCTTGGTCGTATAGCACTCTGTGTTCAAGCCCTAAGACCATTCTCTCTCTTTTTTTCTCACTCATTCACATACACACACATAAAAGAAAGAAAGAAAGAGGAAGGAAGGAAGGAAAGAAAGGAAAGAAAAAGAAGGAAGGAAGAAAAGAAAGACAGGAAAAGGGAGGGAGGGAGAGAGAAAGGAAAGGAAGGGAAAAGGAAGGAAGGAAAGAAAGAAAAGGGAGGGAGAAGGAAGGGAAGGAAGGAAGGGAATAATGTTCAGACTTAAATCTTGTAACCTACTATAAAAGCAGAAAAATTTGAATACATTCTGAGAGCTACTTAAAATTTTTTTTTTGCTACTTTACATGTTTAAGTTATTTGTGTCAAGGTGATGTACAGAGGGGTTACAGTTACCTAAGTAAGGTAGTGGGTACATGTCTTGTTGAACTTGTTACCCCCTCCCTCATTTTTCTCCCACTTACCCTCTCCCCCCCACCAAGTTGTGCAGATCATTTCCAACATATTGTCCTTGTATCGCTGTTGGATTGGTTCCCCCTTTATCCTTTTGTTTCACCATTTTGTTGTTCCTCTTCCCTTCCCTAATTGAAATAAATGTATATACAATACTCAGGGTACCAAAACCAAATACATTGACAACAGGGGGCAATCTTTAAAGTATAAATAACTACATAAATATCATATATTATCAGACATTATAATGTACACCTGCAATTCCAGTATGTTTGTTTTTGTCGGTTGTGGGGCTTAAACTCTGGGCCTGGGAGCTGTCCTGAGCTCTTCAGCTCAAGGCGAATGCTCTACTACTTGAGCCACAGCGACACTTCTGGTTTTCTGAGTGGTTTATTGTAGATAAGAGTCTCACGATTTTCCTGCCAGGGCTGGCTTTGAACCACTATCCCCATATCTCAGCCTCTTGAGTAGCTAGGATTACCGGTGTGAGCCACCAGCGCCTGGCTTCTGCAATCCCAGTATTTAGGAAAAATTTTTTAAAAGGTATCTGTATTTCTATATTTCAAAAAGCCATAATTTTAAGAATGAAGTCTGCTGGGAACTGGAACTTGTAAAGTTCAGTTTCAAAATCTTAGCTGTTAACACATTACAGTAGATAAGATGTGATCTTCCATTTCAAAAACATACTTGTACATACATTTCTCTAATTTGGGAAGGAGAAGGGAAAAAGCAAAATGCTTAAAAAGGATACAGGTTGACCCATTGTAACAATGAGATGTACAAAACACTACGTTGAAAATAAACTTTACAACTTCGGCCCGGGGCGGGGAGGGGGGTAGTTGTGGATGTGGGAGGGTAGGGATAGTAGGGGGAACACAAAGGAGGAGGCAACAAGGCTCAATAGGAAATGTACTTTTTACCTTGCTCATGTAACTGTAACCCCTCTGTACAGCATTTTTACAATTTAAAAAAAAACTACAAAAATATATTTAAAAAATACCTATACTTCATGAGAGCTACTTTTTAAGTGTCCTTACTTTTTTTTTTCCGGTGGGTTGTGGGGCTTGAACTCTAGGCCTGGGCACGCTGTCCCTGAGCTCTTGAGCTCAAGGTTAGCACTCTACCTCTTGAGCTACAGCACCACTTCCAGCTTTTACTGTTTATGTGGTGCTGAGGAATTGAACCCAGGGCCTCATGCAAGGCAAGCAATCTACCACTGAGCCACCTTCCCAGCCCTGTCCTTACTTTTTTGTTTGTGGTTTCATTCCAAAATTTCCCAGGCCTAAAAAAAGATTTAAAATTTCACAGGTTTGAGAAGGGATTCCCCAAAAAATCAAAAGAGGTATATCTGTCTTTTAAAGCTAAATGAATTATTTCTGCTGGAATTAATAAAAAGTACTGTGATCTGATTTGCAAATAACATGGTTTGTTTTGAGCATGTGTTTGTGATTTTTCCCCCAAACTGTATTATATTATTAAACATAATTATTTCTTTGAAATAGGAGGAGGCAACAATGCTTGATAAGAAATGTACTCATTACCTTGCCCATGTAATTGTAACCCCTCTGTATGGTATTTTCACAATAAAAATTAAAGAAAAGAAATAGGTATTATTTACAAGATTCTGATTAAAATAATTTTTGTGAGAAACCCTGCATACAAAGTAAGATTTCCTAGTATTTAATAAATATGGAAATTAAAATAATTCTTAAACCATCTTAATATTTTGATGATTACAAAATAGCAGTTCAAATGCTAGGCCAAGTATTTTAAGTACCCAGTTCTTACAACTCAAATAAGTGCTATGGTATTTGCTTTTCACAAACAGGAAACTGAGGTAAGTGGGGATAAATAACTTGCCCAACATTGTTCACATTCTAACACATGCAGCAAATCAGATACCAGTGTTCTGTGCACATTATCACTTCATAAATCACTAACTTATTGGATCCTATTTTAGAAATCGGGGAAAAAATGATCTTTTAACTAGTGGCCCTCAGGATGCTGGAATTATCTGAGGTTTCAACTGTGGGTATTTATTTAGTACAGAGTGCATTCTGGCCTTCAAATACTTAAAAGCTAAGGTTACTCCAACACATTGCCAAGGCTGTGAACCAGCCTTGGAAATCTGACTGTGGAAGTGGAAATACAGATGACAAGTCTATACTACAATCCCTAAGTAACACTATTAAGTGTATGTTTAAAGCCATGAGGGTATTTATCTACCTAAAATGTTTATTTCACTGAATTATTTTAGTATGTAACTACTTCATTTTTATATATTGTGTTTCTTTAGGTACAGATAGAGCCTACATTTCTCTTGAAGAGGCTTCAGGGAGAAATAAAAGTAGACAGCTAGACAAGCAACTGACTATGAATTCTGAAAACAAGCATCAGAATCTGGAGGATTTAGGAAGTGAAGTCACACGTGATGACACAGAATTGCCAGAACAGATAGCAAGGAATTTTCAAGTTGTTAGTCCTCATCCAGATTATGGGATATCTGAAGATTCCAGGTGAGTGCCACATGCAGCCTTCTATCTAGAAAGAAAGAACTTTTCTCTCCCCCATTTCAGTTTCCTTTGTTTCTAAATTTGATATGTCAGAAACTGGAGAATTTGAGGATTCTTCCAACATTTGTTATTGTTTTCATAATATTGGTACAATGTGTCAAGAGGAAAAGCACAAGGTAAGTTTGAAGTAAAGCAATAAAGTTTTATTCCTTGTTCATTCAAATTTCTTTAACCTTTCCCTATGTGTGAAAATAACCGTTGAACTGCTATAAATGAGATACTATTCATCAAAGCCAAAAGCTGATAGTGATAGGACAGATTAAGCCCAAATAGATGTTTTGGGTTTTATATGGCATTATTTGTCATTACATTCAAATACTTTTAGAGTGGTCATGTACTCTGCTATTTGCCCTCTTTATTATTTTACATTCTGCAACTTATACCCATCTACTCTGCCTATTTGATGAAAGGGTTTATGATATTTATGAATGTTATCTTTGATAATAAGATACTTGAATAATTATTCACATTTTAGGAAAATAGTGTTAGATTTAAAATTTTTCAATGATAATATAATTCTATTTTTAGTCTACACAAAGTCATATTTTCTAAAATGCTATTTTATAAGTTTTATAAAATAGAAATTGCTATTTCTACTGGGTATGGTTAGCATTTGTCTATAATCACAGCTACTCTGAACTCAAAAGTTGGGACAGTTATGGTTCCAGACAAAACAGTGAGACAAGGTGGGATTTGTGTGTGTTTGTGGAGGGGGCCGGTCTGGCAGGAGGCCTAGGTGATGTCACTGAGCTTTTGTGCTCAAAGCTAGCTCTCTACCACTTGAGCCACAGTTCCATTTCATTGGGGATTTGTATCTTAGGGACTTTCCTGACCGCAGGCTGACTTGGAACCTTGATCCCAGACTTCTGAGTTCTTAGGATTATAGGCATGAGCCACTAGCACTCTGCTAATTTTAAGATCTCTAGCATGGAGATCTTAAGATCTTTAGTATATTACAACAGGAGATAGGTAGTACTATACTACTATCCCAATATAGTAATTCCTAGATTTATCTATGCTTACACATGTAATGCTTCATATAACAATCCCTTTTACCTTTCTCTCCTTTTTGCTGTTTTCTTAGAAGTTACTAGTATTCTCAAATAACAGACAAAGTATCAAAAATTAATTTCACCTAGCATTAAATATTGTGGGAATAGGATTTTATTTTAATGTGTTGAAATTAATAATAAAATGTATTCTTTAAATCAAATCTAAAATATACCTGGTAATTTCTGCATTTTCAAAAGAGCAAGAATTGCGAGCAGAATCCCTGGAATTACTAATTGAAATAATATTTTTAGCTCTAAAGTTTGAGTGATTTTTGTCGAGTCGACTGGGCCATGGGCCTCTTAGGTATTACTAATGTGCTTCCCACAAATTTAACTATCTCAGTTGATAGATTTCCATCTCTTTGTGTAGTAGAGGTATAGTTTAAGAATATCTGGCCCAAAGAAACATAGGTCCCATGGTTTCCCTTATTTGTAACAACTAGTATATGTCTGAGTCAAGCAGAAAAGGTCAGATAAGTTGATGTTAGGGGAATGTTCCCAAGATAAGTATTCAAATTTTTTTTTCTTTCATGCAATTGTTTCTAACATATTTATAAGATGATTTCTATGTTGCTTTGTATGTCCCTCCCCCATGGTATAACCCATGCTTTCACTGTATTTGATGTTGGTATAATTTGTGGAGGGGAAGGGAAAAAAACAAGTCGTTTAACTAGGGATACAGGTAGACCCATTGCAACAATGAGATGTACAAGTTGTTATGTCAAAAAACGAACTTTACAACTTTGGTGGGGGGTGGGGGGAGGGCCGGGTGGGGGGAGGGAGGGAGTATGGGAAGGGGAAACAAAGAGGAGGCAACAATGCTTGAAAAGAAATGTACTCTTATTTTGCCCATGTAATTGTAATTCCTCTGTATGGTATTCTCACAATTAAAAAAAAAAGAATATCTGTAAGAAAGAGAAATTTATAATAGGGTACCTTTACATATTATTAAATTTAAATTTGTATTCTTCATTTTATTTATTACAGCATTATGGAAAGTAGGAAGAATGATTTGAATTATGAATATATGATTCCTAACCAACTTACTTCAGACTCTGAAGAAACAATTGCCTTTCTTCTAAAAGAATTAGATATTCTCAGATCAAGCAATAAAAAGGTATAATATAGAAAGTGAGATTATTATACAGTCACTTTTAGCTATGGGCCTAATAAATTTTCTTTGTCAGCATCATTATTCTGGTTTATTGCATTCTTTAACAACAAAGTGGTTGAGTCTAGTAACTGTCTGTGAAAATAGTTTTTTGTTTTTCTTCCTATTGGTCTGTAATATTACTTTCTTTTATATAACCCTTGTCCTTTATGTAGATACTAATAAAACAAGTACTCAAGTTTTATAGAAGTACCTCAGCACCATGGAGTATAATGAATTTGAACCTTGTGCATGCTATTTTTTTAACTTTTCTTCTCTTTTTCTTTTTAAGTATCTATGCCCTGTATTTCACCTCAACAATGTATGTAATAGAATTTCTCCCACATCAGTATTTTATTGGCATCAATTGGTTGTTCAAAGGGATTTCATTTGGACACATCATATGTATATAACGTACCTTGATCAGACTATGCTTCATTATCCTTTCCAGACCATCCTCAGCAAGCTTCATTGTTCCATACACACACATGTACATAAAGTATTTTGACAGTATTCTCTCTCTCTCACTCTTCCCTTTACCCTTTCCATCCCCACTACTACTATCCCAAACTGTACCTGTTTGAAATTCCTGTCATTCATTTTGTAATTAAATTTTAAAGTAACAAATGATACTGTCCTTTATCTGGTATCATCTTATACAGTCATCTTATATATTTTATTCAGTACAGCTTGTTATATCAAGTTCTTTAATTAATAGCTACATTCCTCTGAGCATTAGAAACATTCATTTTCTGTGGATCTTTTCTTAAAAAAAACTCTGCTACCTTTCTGATTCTAATATTCTTACTGTTTGACCTAATCAAACTGGAGCATGGTGTTAAGAATGTTGATTGTGTCTCAAGGAAAACAACAGAAGTGACAAAAGCCTAGGGTGGAATTAAAAAAATATTTGGAAGGATTCCATGTAAGCATAAGATATTTTCTATACTTTCATTTAGTAGTTATTATATGCCAATTATGAGTCAAGATCACAGTGCCAATTTATATGGAATATTATGAGGCAGCATAATCATAAAAAGATTTGTATCAGATATTAAGATTATTATCTTAATTAATTTTGTTTCTAAATATTGTGCTAAGAGAAGCTGCAAAACTGCTGTCTATTATTTTAATATTAGCAACCTTCCAGATCTTTTGCTTTAAGACAAAGCAATGGGTGAAATTGCTTTTCCAGAAGTTATTTTTAACAATAATGCTTCTCTTTATTTATGTATATTTATATATTAAAATTTTAGTGTATATTTGGATGTTTTTGTAATTTCTGTGTGATTCTTTATAAAATGCCTTACAACCTAATTTTTTATTGGAGCTGATGTATTTAGGTAGTTAGGTATAACATCGTATTAGAGTTTAGTTATAAAATTTTACTTCGAGGGCTGGGAAGGTGGCTCAGTGGTAAAGCGCTTGCCTTGCATGCTTGAGGCCCTGGGTTCGATTCCTCAGCACCCAAAATAAAAACCAAAACAAAATTTTACTTTGAAATGAATTGCATTTGTAGATGACAGTTATCTAATAACAATACACTTTTTATCAATGTGTTGTAGCTTCAAGAAAATCTGATTAAAGAAAATAAAGAACATAGAAAATTAAAGCTTGTGTTGGAACTTCAGGAGAAAGCAACAGAAGCTAAAATTGCTGAAAAGACAGCAGGTATGGTAGATGAATGTTTTAGAATACAACCTGAGGAGTGACAGAGGTTGTTAAATAATGTGTCTTAGTGAATACTAGCATACTGCTTTATTTGCCAAAGGAGGAGAGCTCCTCTCTTTCTCGTATTCTTTTTTTTTTTTTTTTTGGCTGCTTAGAAAATAGGTGGCTTTAACATCCTGGTACTGGTATTAGTGAGAGCTTTACCTGTATTCATACTGATTTGGCCATTAAATGCATTGTTAACACCATGTCAATCCAATCACAAAAAGGTTGTTTGTTTTGTTGGAAGGGCCTGAACAAACAAGGGGAAATAATGATTACCAGTGCCTCTACCTTTCAACCAGCAGTTCAAATACCACTTATTGTTTTAGCTTGTGGAGAGGAAATACTTCTTTGTAAGAAGATAGGCATATATTCATTGCCAGTAGAAACCTACATTTGATTTAAAAATCAGTTTTGTGCAATTAATCAGTTAATATCTGGTGATATAGATGATGACAGATATTTTCCTTGAGATTAAAGTGAAAAGTTGCTACAGTTTATTGTTGTAAGTGACTGCCTTAAAAATGTTTAGAGTCCATTTTTAATCTATTTTACTCTATTTTAGTCTTTTATAATCTTTTCCACAAAGAGAATACTTTTTAGCATATTTAAGATGTTACAGATATAATTAAAAAATTCTCGATTTTGTTATTTTCATGTATGCATGTAGTTCTTTCTCACATACAGTTTTCTTGTGTTAAGGAAAGAACATTTTTATAAAATAATAGATGCTAGCATTTGGATGAATTTTAGAAGTGTCTTATTTAACATTTATATCAATTGGAATGATTTTAAAAATAATTTCATGATTAGTTTGATGTTATAATTATGCTTTAGATACTCCTTGTTATGTATATAAAAGATTTGTTATGCATATAAAATACTTTTGGGTCTTTTAGATCAGAGATGTGATTAATTAATATAATCTGCAAAATGTTACTGTGGAAGGTAGAACTGCATATCACTACAAATGTTTAACTAAGATGACCATATATAAATCCTCCAATAGGACACTAGGTGATTTCTTCTCTGTGATGACAAAGTACCATAAAGTTTTATATCAGCTTTATTTAGGAGATATGAAAATAGTAAATTTTAAGGGAAATTAATTATATGCTAAAATTAGTAATACAAATATAAGCTTATAACAATTAAGGATTTCATACTTTTTATCAAAATCAAACATATATTTAAATCATTAGAACATTATAAAAAGTCATTTGATTTGAAGTGTGCATAATAATGTAACAGAATAATGTAACAGAAGTAAGAGAGTAAGTTTTGGGTTATCAACACTTTCTGAGATCATGATTTCATATATCTGTATAGCTTAATCATTTATGGGCTGGGGAACTCAGGAAATAATATTAACATTTTAATACAGTTAGCATGTACTTTAATTATTTGTTTATTGGTATATATTTATGGATTCCTCTTTATTGAACTATTTGAATTATGTAAGCATAAAATGGAAAGAATTTTTTTTTTTTTATTACCAGTCCTGAGGCTTGGACTCAGGGCCTGAGCACTGTCCTGGAGTTTCTTTTGCTCAAGGCTAGAGCTCTACCACTTGAGCCACAGCTCCACTTCTGGCCTTTTCCATATATGTGGTACTGAGGAACTGTACCCTGGACTTCATGCATGCTAGGCAAGCACTAAGCCACATCCCTATCCCAAAGTGGAAAGAATTTGATGGTCTTTATTTTGGTCAGTCATGGGGCTCAAACTCAGGGCCTGGGTGCTGTCCCTGAGCTTTTTTGCTCAAGGGTGGTGCTCTACCACTTTGAGCCACAGCTTCACTTCCGATTGTTTTATTCTCTTTAATCATATCTCACTTGCAACAAAATGCTTTACTAAATGTTAACTCAAAGATGTTAAATATATTTTACATCCACTTATAAAATAATGCATATAGCATTGTATGAGAGAAGCATATAGTTTCTCTCATACAAAACAATTTAGTTGAGACTATGTGTAAATACCTAGTCATAAAAGTGATGCAAAATACAAATCTTCCAAGTTCTTTAAAATATATATGGGTACATATATTTTTGAAAATGTTTTAGTTATTTTGTTTTATAAAGAGCTTAAGATATTTTCTTATAACACTAAAGAACATTATTTTTAACTTTTTTATTATTATTATAAAGGTAATGTACAAGCTGGGCACCGGTAGCTCACGCCTGTAATCCTAGCTACTCAGGAGGCTGAGATCTGAGGATCGAAGTTCAAAGCCAGCCTGGCACGAAAGTCCATGAGACTTTTATCGCCAATAAACCACCAGAAAACTGGAAGTGGTGCTGTGGCTTAAGTGGTAGAGTGCTACCCTTGAGCTGAAGAGCTGAGGGACAGTGCCCAGGCCCAGAGTTCAAGCCCCATGACCAACCAAAAAAAAAAAAAGTGATGTACAGAGGGGTGACAGTTACATAAGAAAAAGAGTACCTTTGACTTTGGACAGTGTTGCCCCTTCTTTTTTTTTTTTTGGTTGGTCGTGGGGCTTGAACTCTGGGCTTGGGCGCGGTCCTTGTGCTCTTCAACTCAAGGCGAGCGCTCTACTGCTTGAGCCATAGCACCACTTCCCCTTCTCTTGCTCTAAGTTTTTCCCTCCCATCCTTACCCACAAGTTGTATAGTTCTTTTTCAACAGTGTCCAGTGAGTACCACTACTGCATTTGTTCACTCTTTGTCCCTCAATTTCTGTGGAGAAAAATTGCATTCATAGTATCAACATTAAAATACTTAGGAATCTGTTAGTTTGAAACTACAACATTAGTCCATTGGTAGATTATTTTACATAATTTTTCACTATTTATATGGTTTTCAATAAATGTAGTCATTACCAAGTACAGTTAAAAACATCAAAACCAGAGCTGAGAATGTGGCTTAGTGGGAGTGTTTGTCTAGCATGCATGAAGCCCTGGGTTCGATTCCTCAATACTACATAAACATAAAAAGCCAGAAGTGGTGCTGTGGCTGAAGGGGTAGAGTGCTAGCCTCAAACAAAAGAAGCTCAGGGACAGTGCCTAGGCCCTGAGTTCAAGCCCCAGGACTGGCAAAAACAAAAAACAAACAAAACAAAAAAACATAAAACCAGTATTGAAATACAAAAGAGGAACAGTATAGATCTATGATTACAGGTAACAAAACCTTACTTTTCATGTGAAAGAACAAAGAAATATGGATGTTTGTGCACATAACTACTCATTTTCATATTCAGAATAAAATGAATGTATATTATCAAAGTTCATACATACCTAAATGTAATGTACATAAGCAAAATATTAACATTCCAAAAAAACTTGGAAAAATACCTGAACTTAATATTTAAAAATAGAAAATATGATATAAAATTTTCTTTCACATTTTTAAATTAGTTAAAATATGTGGAATATTTTCTATCATAAATAATTCCTTAGACAATATAAAATACAAAGATTTATTTATAAAAACATTAGTTATGATAGCAAGAGTATTAAATCTAACAGAGTCATTAAATAAGTTAGGGTACATGTATTCTACTACGCATTAAAAATAGTTGATAAGATATAAATATATAAGATCTATAGACATAGACACGTAATATATAAAGATCTTTATAACTCACATTTAAGTGAAAGAAGTAATGGTAATCCATAATTGTAAAACAATTTTGTTAAAAGAAATAGCACTTATACATAAATGAAAGGCCAGTTTTAGTTCTCTTTAAAGGAAACTAGTAATGTTTCTGGGAATAATTTCTGCCTTTTTTATGTTTCCACAGCGAGTTTGTATTGGATTTACTTTACTTTTAAAAGCTGTCATTTAAGAAAACAACATTGATTTTGTACTCTAGTCTTAAAATATTTCCTATGATAAATTTGAAACATAAAGACTACATAAACCGAAGTTTTAAAAGCTGTATGATGACTGTGATTCAAATTTGCCATTCTGTCCATGTTGTTTTTCTTGTCCTCCAGATTCCCTCATATTCATTTCAATGTCTTCTTTTGTGCATATGTATATGTGTGTAAACTTACAAAGTATAACTATAGATATGTAAATATATTTATATAACATGAAACTAATAATACATACCAATTATAATATATAATAATGTATTATTAATTATAACATACCATGTTAATTATAACTGTCTTTACATAGACTAGTCAATTAAATATAACTATCTAACTGGTACAATTAAAGTGACATAAAACAAAACGTACCAATTCTCTGTATGCAATTGGAAGCAGTTGTGAAGTCTAAAATCCTTGGAATTAGATTAACCACTTCCCCTCCAAACACATACATAAACAGTAGTACATTTTACTAAAATGTGAACTCAAAATTTAAAAAATGGAAGGTAGAAGAGCTGGGGTTGTATACCTATAAAAAACTTTCATGTAGAGTGTTATTCAGTCTCAACTCTGTTTTCTTTGTTTTCCTGTTTTTTGTTTGTTTTTTTTTTGGGGGGGGGTCCAGTCGTGGGGCCTGAACTCTGGGCCTGGGCGCTGTCCCTCAACTCTTCAGCTCAAGGCTAGTGCTCTACCACTTAAGCCATAGCGCCACTTCTGGCTTTTTTCTCTTTGCATATGTGATGCTGAGGAATCCAACCCAGGGCCTCAGACATGCAAGGCAAGCGCTCTACCACTGAGCCACCTTCCCAGCCCCTTGTTTTTTTTTTTTTAAATTGTGAAAATACCATACAGAAGGATTACAAATACATGGGCAAGCTACTGAGTAGAGTTCTTATCAAGCATTGTTTCCTCCTCCTTTGTTTCCCCTTCCCATCCCTTCCCATACCCCCCCCCCCAGCGTTTTTTATACAATGTAAACTAATCCAAAAAAGCCAGAAGTGGTAGAGTGCTAGCCTTGAGCACAAAGAAGCTCAGGGACAGCAGAGCTTAGGCCCCAAATTTAAGCCCCAGGATGGGGGTGGGGGTAGGGGTGGGAGTGGGAATTTTTGGAGAGCACCCATTG